TAGAGAGAGATGGAGAGATGGGGGGGGGGGCAGGCAGAGAGACAGAGGGAGAGAGAAACAGGAAAAACAGCCATGGAGAAATGAAGCAGTGAAGGACGCCGTGTCCACACAGCAGGACCCTCGGTCATCAGTGGCCCCCCCCCCAGCCAGCGACCCCCCAGCTGGGCACGCAGGGGCATACACCCCCAGCAGTCACCGCAGAACACCTTCAGTCTTACGGTGGGTGGGTGGAGGTGCGATGCTAAATGAGTAAACAATGTGAGCAGGACGGGTGGGGGGGGCGGGGGGGAGGGGGGAGTAATATCAGGAAGATGGGGGAAAGAAAACAAAAAGTGGAGAGATAGCAGAGGATGAAATAACGGCAAAGAGAGGAACTAAATCAACAAGAGGCCAGAGAGAGGGAGAGAGAGGGAGAGAGAGGGAGAGAGGAGCCCTGTGTGGGAAAGACAGGAGTATGCAAAAACAAAATGGGGCGGCTGGGTGAGAAGCTACACAACTCTCACACTTACACCTCCCACCCCAGTGAGCCCCAGACACGGCCGGGCAGGAGTACTCACCAGGTACTCAGGGGAGCATGCCCGAGTGTGGTCCCTGCAAACCCCAGCCCGCCGCGGTCCAGCGGACATGAGCGGCTCAGTGCGCCGTGAGAATGCGGGCATGACAACACAGGCACGTGATGGAGGTGATAAGAGTAATTCAGGGACATCGTTAGTTTAAACACACACCCCCAGCACCTAACACAGCCGTGACGCCACCCTGCAGGGGCACCGGCAGGAACCCAGTTGGCTGGGCTCCGGCATGCTGTGGTCCATTGGGCCCGAGGGCTCCAGGGACAATTAGAAGCAATAACTGGCCTGATTACGCGGCCACCCCCCGCAGGGCACGAGGGAAGGAGGAGAGAAAACACAGCGGCTTCACCATGCGGGCAGACAGGCCGCACAGGGTTCAAACGCCTGCTCTATCACGTGAGCCCCGCTGAAGGCCTCACCCTTCACACGACCCCGCCAGGTGCGGCCCCCGCTCAACCGGCAAGACCAGTGGATGCTGAAATGAAACCGAAATCAGACGAGGCAGACAAACGGTTTGAATGGCCTATAGAAACACCCATGTGAGCCTCACACCCGCGGACAGGCACGGACTGACGGGCCCGCCACCCTAAATAAAAGATAACCCCTCTCCATTCAGTGAAGGGGGTCCCAAATTGGCAGGCGGATTATTGGGAGCAAGACGCCCACGGTGGCAGGGGGGAAAACCCACTAAGAGAGAGCAAGAGGAAGGGAGAGAGCATAAAGAGAGAGATAGACGAGGGAGGAGAGGAGCATAGAGCGGGGGGGGCAGGAACTGAGGCAGTGCTGTGAGAGAAATGAGAGATGGGGGGGTGAAGGAGGAATGGCGGTGCAAGAAAAGAATGAGAGAAGGAAGGAACCAGGGATGGACAGTGAGTGAGAGCCCAGAAGGGACACAAGGAGCACCGTGAGAAAAAGAAAGACACGGCAGAGAGGAGTGATGTGCATGTGGGAGAGCGTGGCAACGGCGGGCGTTTAACTCAGCCGCCGTCGTGGATCCTTCACAATTACCACCAGCTGAAGCTTCAGCCGGGACCAGCAAGACGGCGGCGCGCCTGCAGCCTGACACAGCGCGCAGTGCCGATCAGAGGCAGGCCTGCCTCCATGCACAGCGCGCCGAGCACATCCCCCGCTGGGACCCCGTCGAACCAACAGGCAGACGCCGGCTCCCGGCACCAAGAGCTCTGACCACTTTAACACCGTCAGCGTTTGATCCCCTTCTAAAAATACTCCGTTTGTCAGGGGAAATACATTTCAAGCCAATCGTATGACAAAGTAGGCAGATGTGTGTGTAGCAGGGAAAGGCCTTGCTCACTTACACGCGAAGGCAGGGGCGGCCCGCGATTGTTCATCACGCGACAGCACGCACTCACCAGTCAGAATGTTGTACTGCCGCGTCCCACCGGTCGGCGTCACAGCTACCAAACTCCTCCTGCACCTCACGATATAGCCGTTCCTCCCCGTTCCAGCCCCCCCCCTCAATCAGCTGACCTTGAGGTGCAGCGCACCACGATTGCGACTTCCTTATGAACTCAAAGGCCCATATTCTGTGGTGTAACCTTTACACTCAGTGTGAGTAATGTCTCATTGTTGTGCTTCGATCTTAAATCGCCCATCAGGATGACAGAGGGTTTATTAGTAATGGTGGCGCTTCACAAGCTCCGCCCCCAGTGCAGCGTCACGCTCAAGCACTAGGCAGCGCATTTTGTACACAAACTCCCTCCATCTACAGCCCCTCACCTGGGCTTGGCATCCAGGCGAACCACCCCCACACACACCCCCACACCTCGCAGGCCCTCTGCACAATACGGGGTCTAGGGAAGGACCCGGAACGATTCAGAATCCCCACAAACAGTGGTTCCATCCTCCACCCTACGTCCCAGTTATGAATTTTAGTCCCAATCACTTTCTTTTAACCCTAACCCAATCACTTTCCCCACCAAGTTTCATTCTCTTAAATAAAAATCCTTTGTCTCTCTTCCTTTGTACCCTCCTCCTGTTTCCATGGTTACTCCCCTCTCTGCTCCATCTATCTCTCCCTCCCTCCGTTTCCCTCTCTGCCTCTCTCACTCCGTTCTTATCTTTCTCATTTGGCTTTCATCTCTGCCTTCCTTCCTGCTGCTCTATCCCAGGCCCTCCCCTCCCCAGCTTTTATCTCCCCCACTTTCATGTCCTTCACCTCTCTTTCCCCTTCAAGCTGCCATTCCATCACACTGTTTCTTGCTTTACTTCCCCAAAGAAAGTTTCTCTCTCTGCCCCATACAGCCAGTATCCCCCAAAGACTCCCATCCCTGACCCAGAGACCACTGATGCTGGAGCCTTCCAGCAATACGATGGCGTTCCTTATGATGCCATTTAACCCAATTCTGAAGCACGACAACAGGCTTGCAAAATATTACGGGATGACAAATATTTGCAGATATGGTTCCATTTATGCAGTAAATTCAATGCCTCAGCATCAATACTGGGAGTTCAATGATTTCCATCTATGGATCAAGGTACTGTTACAGCCCTAACTTTTAATAGTGGCCACAAGAACAAGGCAGTCACCTTCTTGTCTCATATTTGAGTTCCTCCCATTTAGGACCGGCTGTCCCAGCAAAGGTGGGGACAGAGGTGATGGGAAGAGCTTGTCAGACCAGCCCTGGCCATGAGTGACTTAGCCGGTGTGATCTTCAGCCCACGAGCACACAGACACCCGTCCATCCAGTGGGAGAGAATACCAGCATCACGGGAGACAGGAGGGAGCTGCTCACGAAGGCCCGGGGGGGGGGGGCGCTCCAGCATCGCCACGCGGGAAGCAGGCAGGAAGCGTCCGAGCGCCTGCCTTTCCTCCCCTTTAAAGAGCCACCACTATTCAGAGAGGAGAATAAAAAAAGACCTGAATAGAGGAAGAGAAGAAATGGAGTCCCAGGAGGGGGGTGGGAAAACAATGAGAGAAAGACAGGAGTGAAAAGCAGCCAAAGAGAAAAAAGGAGGGAGGGAGAGAGAGAGAGAGAGAGAGAGAGAGACAGAGCAAAGAGCAGCTAGAAAGGAAGGCGCTGAAAAGGAAAATGGAAAACCGGCATGTTCTGAAAGACTGGCGTGTTTCTGTGGAAATAAATGAGTGGAGGAAAAAAAAAAAAAAAAAAACCATGAAAGGAAGCACAACTGACAAGACGAATGGACCGGACCGGCCCTGACTGGATCCGAACGGGTATGCTGGTAATCGATATGGACAGAGGGTCAGACGGTGTCACAGCGGGGCCACCTCTGCAGCCCAAATGCTCTATTCCCAGGTCCTGTAAGCACCAGCACTCTGACTGACGCCCATCAGCAACAC